TGTCTATCAATACACCGTACCAACAGCATACTGTCTATCAATACACCCGTACCAACAACATACTGTCTATCAATACACCGTACCAACAGCATACTGTCTATCAATACACCGTACCACAGCATACTGTCTATCAATACACCGTACCAACACCATACTGTCTATCAATACACCGTACCAACAACATACTGTCTATCAATACACCGTACCAACACATACTGTCTATCAATACACCGTACCAACACACATACTGTCTATCAATACACCGTACCAACACATACTGTCTATCAATACACCGTACCAACACATACTGTCTATCAATACCACAACAACACGCTTCTACCAACAACATACTGTCTATCAATACACCGTACCAACACAGCATACTGTCTATCAATAAACAACACGCTACCACACAAACATACTGTCTATCAATACACCGTACCAACAACATACTGTCTATCAATACACCGTACCAACAACATACTGTCTATCAATACACCGTACCAACAACATACTGTCTATCAATACACCGTACCAACAACATACGTCTATCAATACACCGTACCAACACATACTGTCTATCAATACACCGTACCAACAACATACTGTCTATCAATACACCGTACCAACAACATACTGTCTATCAATACACCGTACCAACAACATACTGTCTATCAATACACCGTACCAACAACATACTGTCTATCAATACAACCGTACCAAACACATACTGTCTATCAATACACCGTACCAAACAACATACTGTCTACTACAATACACCGTACCAACACATACTGTCTATCAATACACCGTTACCAACAACATACTGTCTATCAATAACACCGTACCAACAACATACTGTCTATCAATACACCGTACCAACAACATACTGTCTATCAATACACCGTACCAACAACATACTGTTATCAATACACAGTACCAACACATACATGTCTATCAATACACCGTACCAACAACTACGTCTATCAATACACCGTACCAACACATATGTCTATCAATACACCGTACCAACACATACTGTCTATCAATACACCGTACCAACAACATACTGTCTATCAATAACACGTACCAACAAATACTGTCTATCAATAAAACCGTACCAACAACATACTGTCTATCAATAACCGTACCAACGAGCTACTGTCTATCAATACACCGTACCAACAACATACTGTCTATCAATACACCGTACCAACAACATACTCAGTATCAAGCTCATACTCAGTACAAGTATATTCCAACTAAATAATGTCGCAAAACCATGTCGAAGAAAGACTGAGGGGGTTTCTTTACAAGGGGACCTCTGATAGTCGGACCAGCGAGACAAAGATCCAATCGGATCAAGCGTTAACTGGTGATAGTCAACACCCACATAGCTGATGTTTTGGCGGAGTCGGAGGTGGAACTGCTTTGAAGCCGTTGCTCTTCATCATTGTCAGGAAGCCACACTCATCCCACTGGCATTAGAAGTTCAGAAGGAGAAAGTGTAGGCTACATAGAAATAATGACGCTCAAATTGAAAAACATTAAAGTAAATAATGAGGATTTCTATCGGCCTAATGGAGGCGTAGATTAAATCTCACATTCCAGTGTTCACACTTGTAAACAACAGGGACCTTTGAGATTCTGACAAAATGTTGTGGAAGTTTGGTGTTATCAACTGTTATGAACCCTCCTTTTACAACACCACAATAACTGACAAGTTCAGGATTATTTTCAGGATTATTATTATGGGGTTTGTGTAAGAACGTAGGAAGATTGTCAAGACTTTCAACTTCATAAAATCTACACAACTCTGAGAGCAGTGACTTCACTGTGAACCACAAAACCCCATAAACTCTCCTTCTCTCCCTTCCTCCCTCCCTCCCTCCCTCCCTCCCTCCCTCCCTCCCTCTGTCCTTCTCTCCCTCTTCCCGTCCTTCACCCTCTTTCCCAGTACCCCCCCACCCCCCCCCCCCCCCCCCCCACCCACCTCCCTCCTATAACCTTCCAGCAACCCCTTCAACCACTCCACCCCTCCCTCCCCCTCCTTCCCACACTCCCCCGGCCCTCCCTCCTTCCCCCCCTGGCCCTCCTTCCTTCCCACCCTAGCCCTCCCTCCCTCCCTCCCTCTTTGGCCCCCCATGTGTAGTATTAATAATATTGCTAGCAGGGGTTAGCTGACGGGGGACCGTGGCCCTTCTACGCCCGTCTAGGTACAGCAATTTAAAAAGCTTTTGAGGTTCCCAGCTGTATGAATCTGTTCCAGGGGGAATCCCACAGGCTGGTCCGCATGGGGTTAGGGTCAACACTTCACTCCCACCAGTCACTGTGGCTGTGTCCCAAATGGCACCCTATTCTCTATATAGTGCACCACTTGGGTCCTGGTCATAAGTAGTGCACTAAATAGGCAATAGGGTGTCATTTGGGATGCAAACTGTGACTTTACTACGCCATCTTCTATCCCCCTCCCACCACCAGCGCTGTTATTGGTCTTTTTATGCTTTTTATTAAATCACAACCACATGCTACTGCTGTGACTGGCAACAGAATGAATATCTACACTGAGTGAACAAAACATTAGGAACACCTTCCTAATATTGAGTTGCACCGCCCCCTTTTTGCCCTCAGAACAACCTCAATTCGTCGGGGCATGGACTCTACTAGGTGTCAAAAGCGTTCCACAGGGATGCTGGCCCATGTTGACTCCAATGCTTCCCACGGTTGTGTCTAGTTGGCTGGATGTCCTTTGGGTGGTGGGCCATTCTTGATACACACTGGAAATTCACCCTCTGAATGGCACACATACACAATCCATGTCTCAATTGTCTCAAGGCTTAAAAATCCTTCTTTAACCTGTCTCCTCCCCTTCATCTACACTGATTGAAGTGGATTTAACAAGTGACATCAATAACGGATCGTAGCTTTCACCCGGATTCCCCTGGTCAATAAGGGATCGTAGCTTTCACCTGGATTCCCCTGGTCAATAAGGGATCGTAGCTTTCACCTGGATTCCCCTGGTCAATAAGGAATCGTAGCTTTCACCTGGATTCCCCTGGTCAATAAGGAATCAGAGCTTTCACCTGGATTCCCCTGGTCAATAAGGGATCGTAGCTTTCACCTGGATTCCCCTGGTCAATAAGGGACCGTAGCTTTCACCTGGATTCCCCTGGTCAATAACGGATCAAAGCTTTCACCTGGATTCCCCTGGTCAATAACGGATCAAAGCTTTCACCTGGATTCCCCTGGTCAATAAGGGATCATAGCTTTCACCTGGATTCCCCTGGTCAATAAGGGATCGTAGCTTTCACCTGGATTCCCCTGGTCAATAACGGATCAAAGCTTTCACCTGGATTCCCCTGGTCATTCTGTCATGGAACACTCAGTTTAACAGGGAACAGGATGAATATATAGATTGTAGAACTACCCGTCTGACGTCTACATATGGCTAATTGTTACGCCAATGACTAGTCCATCAAATGTCCATATCTTTCTAATGTTCAATGTAGAATACACATTATTTATTTAGCAAGTATTCAGTTTGTGATTTTAGAGTTGCCAAGAAAGACAAAACCAGTATCAAAGTAAAATGGCTTTTAATCTGGCCACAACACATGGCAAAGGTAGTAAGACATTACAGGGATATTGCTTGACAGCCATAGTCATTAAAGTCAATGAAACATGGTAACACAACATGGAGATACACTGCTGGGTCCAGCCCTTATACTGTCGTTGTTAAATATGGGTCAATTCTGGACCAAATACAACCATATGCCGTAGTATAAAAACTGTAAAAACTACAAGTGAATGTTATCAATTACTTAAAAACTTTTAGAACTGACTAATGCTAATTCTAGTTTAACAAAATTGTCAATTACAAAGAATTGTAAACACTTACAAAAAAACCATATTTATTTCCTGAGAATTGTTAAATAAATATTTTCTGTCCTAATTATCCAATAAACACAACTGTTGTTCTGATATATGTGTAAGCTATCACACTTCAAATTCAACACAATAAATACTGTAACTGAATGATCTAATCTGGTGTTATGTGAAAATGTATTTAATTTTCAAATTAAGAAGATATTTATTTAGTTTTTCATTTGATAGTCTAGCCCTTTCTGACACTGATTGAAAAGCATACACCCGTAAAAAAAAGAAGAAGACTTTGGCACGAAACAGAGAACACACTATAACCAATCATTGAAATCACTAACTCAACATTGCTCTTCCTTAAGCTCATCACGTCTCAAAACAATCTTCCAGTGAAAATACATCAATACATTCCAGTTGTAGAGAATGTCTGCATTATATGGCACCCTATTTCATACAGAGTGCACTCTTTTTGAACAGGGCCCATAAGGTAAAAAAGTAGTGCACTATGTAGGGAATAGGGTGCCTTTTGGGACGCAAAACATAGGCTTAGTTTCAATGTCCACACTAGCAATATCACTTAGAATACATGTCCAATACATTGCTCCCTTCTAAGTAGTATGCTAGAGATGGTTTTGGAACAAAGCCACATGCTATATGGTATGGTCTTTAGCTTCAGGTAGGCTGTGGCTGCGTCTAGCGCACTACTTTCCTAGGGGTCATGGTTAATAGTAGTGGACTACATAGGGAATAGGGTGATATTTCAGGCCGACCCTGGGTGTTTAAGTTCAGAGTGATTTAGCCTGGTAGTTGTAGTTCAGAGTGATTTAGCTTGGCAGTTTAAGTTCAGAGTGATTTAGCCTGGTAGTTGTAGTTCAGAGTGATTTAGCTTGGCAGTTTAAGTTCAGATTGATTTAGCCTGGTAGTTGTAGTTCAGAGTGATCTAACCTGGGAGTTGTAGTTCAGAGTGATTTAACCTGGGAGTTGTAGTTCAGAGTGATCTAACCTGGGAGTTGTAGTTCAGAGTGATCTAACCTGGGAGTTGTAGTTCAGAGTGATCTAACCTGGGATTTGTAGTTCAGAGTGATTTAGCTTGGTAGTTGTAGTTCAGAGTGATATAACCTGGCATTTGATTTCCTGGCCTGTGTGATCCACAGTTTGAAGTATTCCACCTCCAGGGAGCGGGCTGAGAGGACGCTGTGCGGGTCATATTCATTGTTGTAGCGTAGGTCCAGGTGGTGAGCTCCGTCAGGTATCACTATGGCAACCACCGAGTCCGAGATGTTTCGGGTCACCCCGCCACTTGACCACGGGTCCAGTCCTCCGTTACTGTAACAGTTTAGAGGAGATGGACATTTATTTACATGGCCCTTTTTTAAGGAAGGAGGATCAAACAGAGAAAGTTAACATGGAATACCATAAAATGGCTGAACCTCTATTTAAGCAATAAGGCACAAGAGACAGCGCTGTATTATGAATACAGTCACAGGTAAGAGACAGCGCTGTATCATGAATACAGTCACAGGTAAGAGGCAGTGCTGTATTATGAATACAGTCACAGGTAAGAGACAGCGCTGTATCATGAATACAGTCACAGATAAGATGCGTTGTTCGGCCTGACATGATAGCCTTATACAGTGGGGGAAAAAAGTATTTAGTCAGCCACCAATTGTGCAAGTTCTCCCACTTAAAAAGATGAGAGAGGCCTGTAATTTTCATCATAGGTACACGTCAACTATGACAGACAAAATGAGAAATTTTCTCCAGAAAATCACATTGTAGGATTTTTTATGAATTTATTTGCAAATTATGGTGGAAAATAAGTATTTGGTCAATAACAAAAGTTTCTCAATACTTTGTTATATACCCTTTGTTGGCAATGACACAGGTCAAACGTTTTCTGTAAGTCTTCACAAGGTTTTCACACACTGTTGCTGGTATTTTGGCCCATTCCTCCATGCAGATCTCCTCTAGAGCAGTGATGTTTTGGGGCTGTCGCTGGGCAACACAGACTTTTAACTCCCTCCAAATATTTTCTATGGGGTTGAGATCTGGAGATTGGCTAGGCCACTCCAGGACCTTGAAATGCTTCTTACGAAGCCACTCCTTCGTTGCCCGGGCGGTGTGTTTGGGATCATTGTCATGCTGAAAGACCCAGCCACGTTTCATCTTCAATGCCCTTGCTGATGGAAGGAGGTTTTCACTCAAAATCTCACGATACATGGCCCCATTCATTCTTTCCTTTACACGGATCAGTCGTCCTGGTCCCTTTGCAGAAAAACAGCCCCAAAGCATGATGTTTCCACCCCCATGCTTCACAGTAGGTATGGTGTTCTTTGGATGCAACTCAGCATTCTTTGTCCTCCAAACACGACGAGTTGAGTTTTTACCAAAAAGTTATATTTTGGTTTCATCTGACCATATGACATTCTCCCAATCCTCTTCTGGATCATCCAAATGCACTCTAGCAAACTTCAGACGGGCCTGGACATGTACTGGCTTGAGCAGGGGGACACGTCTTGCACTGCAGGATTTGAGTCCCTGGCGGCGTAGTGTGTTACTGATGGTAGGCTTTGTTACTTTGGTCCCAGCACTCTGCAGGTCATTCAGTAGGTCCCCCCCGTGTGGTTCTGGGATTTTTGCTCACCGTTCTTGTGATCATTTTGACCCCACGGGGTGAGATCTTGCGTGGAGCCCCAGATCGAGGGAGATTATCAGTGGTCTTGTATGTCTTCCATTTCCTAATAATTGCTCCCACAGTTGATTTCTTCAAACCAAGCTGCTTACCTATTGCAGATTCAGTCTTCCCAGCCTGGTGCAGGTCTACAATTTCGTTTCTGGTGTCCTTTGACAGCTCTTTGGTCTTGGCCATAGTGGAGTTTGGAGTGTGACTGTTTGAGGTTGTGGACAGGTGTCTTTTATACTGATAACAAGTTCAAACAGGTGCCATTAATACAGGTAACGAGTGGAGGACAGAGGAGCCTCTTAAAGAAGAAGTTACAGGTCTGTGAGAGCCAGAAATCTTGCTTGTTTGTAGGTGACCAAATACTTATTTTCCACCATAATTTGCAAATAAATTCATAAAAAATCCTACAATGTGATTTTCTGGATTTTTTTTCCTCATTTTGTCTGTCATAGTTGACGTGTACCTCTGATGAAAATTACAGGCCTCTCTCATCTTTTTAAGTGGGAGAACTTGCACAATTGGTGGCTGACTAAATACTTTTTTCCCCCACTGTATGTTCAGCCCGACGTGTGCCATATTGCTTTTATAAATCTGTTACCAACATATTAAAATAACAATACATTACATATTTTCATTAAAACGTTATTTGGATAAGTAAATTCATACAATGTAATTCTTCCACCAGAAGATATAGTCCAGACAAAAATCTGGTTGTTAGTTATTTTGGTCATGTTGCTACAGACGCCCAGCCAGTCATTCATTATTTTTGAATAGTTGCTACGCAAAAGGACTGGTCGTCCGTTCTAAACAAAATGGTTGCTATGCAGGCTGGATAACGTTCTTGCCACTTGCTGACTAGCTCAGCTAACTCAGTCACGTCAAACATTGAACCTGGAATGACAGGACACTAGCTGCATTTTCATTTGTTTGAGCTTTTTTTTCTATTGGCATGTACTTGGATATGTCCGTGATAATGACGATGATGCGTGATTTCGACTGGCTCAGAAACAGTTGTAGTGTCTGGGCACCATTCCCTCTATGTTTGGTAAAGAGATCGAAATTCAAAAGTGAAACATTGTTTCCGAGGTCAGACAGGCAGACAGCGAGGCTTATATTAACCCCCGCTGTACCAAACCAAACGCTAGGCTGGAAGCAAAGGGGAAATAAAGTGCGAGTTGAGATAAATACAAGAGATGATTCAGACAGCAACATACTGTAGATGTGGTAAACCAAACTCAACCAAAACAATGGAATTGCCATGGAAATGCGTGGGGGTAAAGATACCGTGGGGGGGAAAGATACCGTGGGGGTAAAGATACCGTGGGGGGGAAAGATACCGTGGGGGGGAAAGATACCGTGGGGGGTAAAGATACCGTGGGGGTAAAGATACCGTGGGGGTAAAGATACCGTGGGGGGGAAGATACCGTGGGGGGGAAAGATACCGTGGGGGGAAAGATACCGTGGGGGGAAAGATACCGTGAGGGGAAAGATACCGTGAGGGGAAAGATACCATGGGGGAAAGAAACCATGGGGGAAAGATACCGTGGGGGAAAGATACCGTGGGGGGGAAAGATACCGTGGGGGTAAAGATACCGTGGGGGGAACGATACCGTGGGGGGAAAGATACCGTGGGGGGAAAGATGCCGTGGGGGTAAAGATACCGTGGGGGGAAAGATACCGTGGGGGGAAAGATACCGTGGGGGGAAAGATACCGTGGGGGGAAAGATACCGTGGGGGGAAAGATACCGTGGGGGGAAAGATACCATGGGGGGAAAGATACCATGGGGGAAAGATACCATGGGGGAAAGATACCGTGGGGGGAAAGATACCGTGGGGGGAAAGATACCGTGGGGGAAAGATACAGAATCTCCTCATTGCCCCTCAGCCAAATTAGCCTACAATCAGGCTATTGTCTGGTCAATGGAATGTCTGGCCGATGGAATGTCTGGCCGATGGAACGTCTGGCCAATGGAACGTCTGGCCAATGGAACGTCTGGCCAATGGAACGTCTGCGTCCACTGACCCCTTTACCATCTATGACCATGATATTCTTATGGAGGCGCAGTGATCATTTTCAGATGGAACTGTTTGCAGGCATAGTACAGCACGGCTTGGAATGCTACTTGTCCAATCAGCATCCAGGATCCCAACAACAGCAGTGTATTATTTAAGATGGCTGAACCCCTACTGGGTAACAGTGTATTATTTAAGATGGCTGAACCTCTGGGTAACAGTGTATTATTTAAGATGGCTGAACCTCTGGGTAACAGTGTATTATTTAAGATGGCTGAACCCCTACTGTGTAACAGTGTATTATTTAAGATGGCTGAACCTCTAACAGTGTATTATTTAAGATGGCTGAACCTCTATTGTGTAACAGTGTATTATTTAAGATGGCTGAACCTCTAACAGTGTATTATTTAAGCATAAAGGCATGAGAACCTGTTGATGATTGTGAATAACGCATGGCGAGGACTGTATTTAGGCATGATGCGAAACTCCAAGTCCAAGTTAGATTGACATGTCCAGGAATAATTCCAGTCGCAAACTCTAGTTACATGGTCCGGTAAATCTTCTGTCCCTCACTCAGTGAAATCAGCAGGTGTTAGTTTACCTGAAGATGATGTTGCTGTGAGAAGCGATGTCCAGTCCTCCGTAGACTGTGTCTGCCCAGTCAGCCCGTGGACGCACCCCAAACAGGGCGTGGCACTCGTCTGAAAAGGCCTGGAAGTTCCAGTCCTGGGGCTCAAACATGTCCTGCACCCCGTCAGTACAAAGCGGCATCACCATCTCTGTACACGCCTGGGGAGGGAGAGGGGGAGAGAAGCTGTTAAGGCTAACAGGGTCCATATAGAGGACCAGACTAACAGGGTCCATATAGAGGACCAGGCTAACAGGGTCCATATAGAGGACCAGACTAACAGGGTCCATATAGAGGACCAGACTAACAGGGTCCATATAGAGGACCAGGCTAACAGGGTCCATATAGAGGACCAGGCTAACAGGGTCCATATAGAGGACCAGACTAACAGGGTCCATATAGAGGACCAGACTAACAGGGTCCATATAGAGGACCAGGCTAACAGGGTCCATATAGAGGACCAGGCTAACAGGGTCCATATAGAGGACCAGACTAACAGGGTCCATATAGAGGACCAGGCTAACAGGGTCCATATAGAGGACCAGGCTAACAGGGTCCATATAGAGGACCAGGCTAACAGGGTCCATATAGAGGACCAGACTAACAGGGTCCATATAGAGGACCAGACTAACAGGGTCCATATAGAGGACCAGACTAACAGGGTCCATATAGAGGACCAGACTAACAGGGTCCATATAGAGGACCAGACTAACAGGGTCCATATAGAGGACCAGACTACAGGGTCCATATAGAGGACCAGACTAACAGGGTCCATATAGAGGACCAGACTAACAGGGTCCATATAGAGGACCAGACTAACAGGGTCCATATAGAGGACCAGACTAACAGGGTCCATATAGAGGACCAGACTAACAGGGTCCATATAGAGGACCAGACTAACAGGGTCCATATAGAGGACCAGACTAACAGGGTCCATATAGAGGTCCAGACTAACAGGGTCCATATAGAGGACCAGACTAACAGGGTCCATATAGAGGACCAGACTAACAGGGTCCATATAGAGGACCAGGCTAACAGGGTCCATATAGAGGACCAGGCTAACAGGGTCCATATAGAGGACCAGACTAGAGGGTCCATATAGAGGTCCAGACTAACAGGGTCCATATAGAGGCCCAGACTAACAGGGTCCATATAGAGGACCAGACTAACAGGGTCCATATAGAGGACCAGACTAACAGGGTCCATATAGAGGACCAGACTAACAGGGTCCATATAGAGGACCAGACTAACAGGGTCCATATAGAGGACCAGACTAACAGGGTCCATATAGAGGACCAGACTAACAGGGTCCATATAGAGGACCAGACTAACAGGGTCCATATAGAGGTCCAGACTAACAGGGTCCATATAGAGGACCAGACTAACAGGGTCCATATAGAGGACCAGACTAACAGGGTCCATATAGAGGAACAGGCTAACAGGGTCCATATAGAGGACCAGGCTAACAGGGTCCATATAGAGGACCAGACTAACAGGGTCCATATAGAGGACCAGACTAACAGGGTCCATATAGAGGACCAGACTAACAGGGTCCATATAGAGGACCAGACTAACAGGGTCCATATAGAGGACCAGACTAACAGGGTCCATATAGAGGACCAGGCTAACAGGGTCCATATAGAGGACCAGACTAACAGGGTCCATATAGAGGACCAGACTAACAGGGTCCATATAGAGGTCCAGACTAACAGGGTCCATATAGAGGACCAGACTAACAGGGTCCATATAGAGGACCAGGTCATTCTAACAGGGTCCATATAGAGGACCAGACTAACAGGGTCCAATATAGAGGACCAGACTAACAGGGTCCATATAGAGGACCAGACTAACAGGGTCCATATAGAGGACCAGGCTAACAGGGTCCATATAGAGGAACAGGCTAACAGGGTCCATATAGAGGAACAGAATAACAGGGTCCATATAGAGGAACAGACTAACAGGGTCCATATAGAGGACCAGACTAACAGGGTCCATATAGAGGACCAGGCTAACAGGGTCCATATAGAGGACCAGACTAACAGGGTCCATATAGAGGACCAGACTAACAGGGTCCATATAGAGGACCAGGCTAACAGGGTCCATATAGAGGACCAGACTAACAGGGTCCATATAGAGGGACCAGACTAACAGGGTCCATATAGAGGACCAGACTAACAGGGTCCATATAGAGGACCAGACTAACAGGGTCTATATAGAGGACCAGGCTAACAGGGTCCATATAGAGGACCAGGACTAACAGGGTCCATATAGAGGACCAGACTAACAGGGTCCATATAGAGGACCAGACTAACAGGGTCCATATAGAGGACCAGACAACAGGGTCCATATAGGGACCAGGCTACACAGGGTCCATATAGAGGACCAGACTACAGGGTCCAGAAGAGGACCAGACTAACAGGGTCCATATAGAGGACCAGACAACAGGGTCCATATAGAGGACCAGACTACACAGGGTCCATATAGAGGGACCAGGACTAACAGGGTCCATATAGAGGAACCATACTAACAGGGTCCATATAGAGGACAGCTAACAGGGTCAATATAGAGGACCAGACTAACAGGGTCCATATAGAGGACCAGACTAACAGGGTCCATATAGAGGACCAGACTAACAGGGTCATATAGAGGACCAGACTAACCAGGGTCATATAGAGGACCAGACTAACAGGCGTCCATATATAGACCAACTAACAGGGTCCATATATAGGACCAACTAAGGGTCCATATAGAGGACTCGATGCGAACCGGGTCCATATAGAGGACCAGGACTAACAGGGTCCATATAGAGGACCAGACTAACAGGGTCCAATATGAGGACCTAGGCGAACAGGGCCAATAGAGGGACCCGGACTACAGGGGTCCATATAGAGGACCAGGCTAACAGGGTCCATATAGAGGACCAGACTAACAGGGTCCATATAGAGGACCAGACTAACAGGGTCCATATAGAGGACCAGACTAACAGGGTCCATATAGAGGACCAGACTAACAGGGTCCATATAGAGGACCAGGCTAACAGGGTCCATATAGAGGACCAGACTAACAGGGTCCATATAGAGGACCAGACTAACAGGTCCATATAGAGGACCAGACTAACAGGGTCCATATAGAGGACCAGACTAACAGGGTCCATATAGAGGACCAGGCTAACAGGGTCCATATAGAGGACCAGACTAACAGGGTCCATATAGAGGACCAGACTAACAGGGTCCATATAGAGGAACCAGACTAACAGGGTCCATATAGAGGAACAGACTAACAGGGTCCATATAGAGGCCCAGACTAACAGGGTCCATATAGAGGAACAGACTAACAGGGTCCATATAGAGGACCAGGCTAACAGGGTCCATATAGAGGACCAGACTAGAGGGTCCATATAGAGGTCCAGGAACTAACAGGGTCCATATAGAAGGACCAAGACTAACAGGGTCCATATAGGAGGGACCAGGCTAAACAGGGTCCATATAAAGGACCAGGACTAACAGGGTCCATATAGATGAACCATGACGTAACAGGGTCCATATAGAGGACCAGACTAACAGGGTCCACTATAGAGGACCCAGCTAACAGGGGTCCATATAGAGGACCAGGCTAACAGGGGGCCCATATAGAGGAACCAGACTAACCAGAGGTCCATATAGAGGACTCAGGCTAACAGGGTCCATATAGAGGATCCCAGACTAACAGGGTCCATATAGTAGGCCCCAGACTAAACAGGGTCCATATAGAGGACCAGACTAACAGGGTCCATATAGGAGGACCCAGACTAACAGGGTCCATACAGAGGACCAGACTAACAGGGTCCATATAGAGGACCAGACTAAACAGGGGTCCATATAGAGGACCCAGCTAACAGGGTCCATAAGAGGACCAGACTAACAGGGTCCATATAGAGGACCCAGACTAACAGGGTCCATATAGAGGACCAGACTAACAGGGTCCATATAGAGGACCAGACTAACAGGGTCATATAGAGGACCAGACTAACAGGGTCCATATAGAGGACCAGGCTAACAGGGTCCATATAGAGGACCAGACTAACAGGGTCCATATAGAGGACCAGACTAACAGGGTCCATATAGAGGACCAGCTAACAGGGTCCATATAGAGGACCAGACTAACAGGGTCCATATAGAGGCCCAGACTAACGAGGGTCCATATAGAGGACCAGACTAACAGGGTCCATATAGAGGACCAGACTAACAGGGTCCATGTAGAGGAACAGGCTAACAGGGTCCATATAAGGACCAGGCTAACAGGGTCCATATAGAGGACCAGACTACAGGGTCCATATAGAGGACCAGACTAACAGGGTCCATATAGAGGACCAGACTAACAGGGTCCATATAGAGGACCAGGCTAACAGGGTCCATATAGAGGACCAGACTAGAGGGTCCATATAGAGGACCAGGCTAACAGGGTCCATATAGAGGACCAGACTAACAGGGTCCATATAGAGGACCAGACTAACAGGGTCCATATAGAGGACCAGACTAACAGGGTCCATATAGAGGACCAGACTAACAGGGTCTCACTTCACTCGCCAGATCAAACACACAGCTGTAACTCTGATTAAGGGGTTTACACGTCCTAATCATTTGAAAGATTGCTCAGAAAACTAGATGTTTTAGCCGGCGTATGCTTACTTCCATTTTGACTGTACACCGATTAAGATAAGCAGAGTAAGATGTTTACATGACTAATGCCATAATCTGCCTTCTGCCATAATCAGTTTAATATCAAATTATTAGTGTGCATGTAAACGTACTCATTGAGACATGATCACATCTCTTTTTTTATTCGTGGGAATACTTGGGAACAGATTTCCTAAATTAAACTCATTTTTAGCTGAATTCCTGGTGATTTTACCGCCTGTTGTCGGCCCTAGCTCTCTACAGGTCACTACTTGACCCAGAGCTCTATTCTCTGTACAGGTCACTACTTGACCCAGAGCTCTATATAGGGAATAGGATGCCATTTGAGAAACAGGCTGTGAGTCTGCGATACCTGATAGTACCAGCCGACGAAGCCCAGGTTCCCTGTAGCTGTGGAGGACGTGTTGAGACAGGGAGCGTTTCCTGTGTAGTTGTAGTAGATTCTAACAGCTTCAGAGACGCCCCCTAACAACTGATAGTCTGACACGCTGCTGGGGTCAAAACCAAGGTGCTTGCACACCACCTGGGAACAAAACAAGAAAATATATCACGGACGTAGACAAATACGTGCTTAGAAATTACAATTATTGTCTGAGTATACTAAATACAGGATATTTTTGGTCAGTGTTCTTCACATGAAGCACAAACATGGAACAATGACTAATTAATTAATACATTTCTGTCAATGGCAGAGTGAAAATACTTTACCCGTTAATTAAATAGTAACGCATGTATTAAGTAAGCGTTTTTAGGTAACCTTTTAAGCACTTCCTTTACAAACAAACACCAAGCTTAAGTTCCATTTCAGTCCAAATCCAACTGGCTCACCGTTAAAAAGCTCTCTCTCGTCTCGGAGCTGTTTACCTGTTGTTTTCTCATAAACACCATTTCACTTATAAATTCAGTGTCTAATTTGCATGTGTGGAATGGAACTAAAGGCTTAACTTGAATGTATAGCTCTGCGCTTAACAAGAGAGGAGACATATTTAGTTTAGCCATGCATGATGACGTTAAAAGATTTAACGACCTAGCTATGGTTCCCCTTCTGCTCCATTCTCACCCTACCAGGACAACTTCTCAACTTAGGAAAGTGACTGTTTCATCTATATTGACGGTTACTGCAGTTGAGATACATTTAACATTTGGATTTTTCCATCGTTCGCGGTTTGCTTTCAGACATAGTTACTGTATTGGTAGTTGTTATGGTAGCAGCAGAGTTTGCTGCCTGTCCTGTCCTGTCGCTAGCTGTTTTTTGTTCTGTCAGTCTTTGTGAGGCTGCTGGAGAGAGAGAGAGACTGTGGCTGCTTGTTAGGACATTGGAGTGGAGTTCTGGCAGAATGGAGGTTACTGAGGCTTTTGTCTACAGGCGGGCTGGGGAGGAGGAGGAGGAGGAGGAAGGGGGAGGAGGAGGAGGAGGAGGTTGAGGAGGAGGAGGATGGGGGAGGAGGAGGAGGAGGAAGGGGGAGGAGGAGGAAGGGGGAGGAGGAGGAAGGGGAGGAGGAGGAGGAGGAGGAAGGGGGAGGAGGAGGAGGAGGAGGAGGAAGGGGGAGGAGGAGGAGGAGGAGGAGGAAGGGGGAGGAGGAGGAGGAGGAGGAGGAGGAGGAGGAGGAGGAAGGGGGAGGATGAGGAGGAGGAGGAGGAGGAGGAAGGGGGGGATGAGGAGGAGGAGGAGGAGGAGGAGGAAGGGGGGGGGTGAGGAGGAGGAGGAGGAGGAAGGGGGAGGAGGAAGGGGGAGGATGTCGATGGATGAGGAGGAGGGGTAGAGCTACAGGCAGATTTATACCATGAAATAAAACTCCAGCAATTGGTCTGAAGCATCTCCTCTCTACTTTTCAGATAGGATTAGTCTCCAACATTCATCTCTGCCAACAGATTTCCCCCTTTAAGCCCTCAATACTCCCTTCCCACAGTCACTCACATAATCACATTAGCTTTGTCATTAAAAAAGCTCACTGCCTAAACGGCTTAAACCACCCATAGGGCAGGCATACATTATAGGCACTGCTTAAACCACCCATAGGGCAGGCATACATTATAGGCACTGCTTAAACCACCCATAGGGCAGGCATACATTATAGGCACTGCTTAAACCACCCATAGGGCAGGCATACATTATAGGCACTGCTTAAACCACCCATAGGGCAGGCATACATTATAGGCACTGCTTAAACCACCCATAGGGCAGGCATACATTATAGGCACTGCTTAAACCACCCATAGGGCAGGCATACATTATAGGCTCTGCTTAAACCACCCATAGGGCAGGCATACATTATAGGCACTGCTTAAACCACCCATAGGGCAGGCATACATTATAGGCACTGCTTAAACCACCCATAGGGCAGGCATACATTATAGGCACTGCTTAAACCACCCATAGGGCAGGCATACATTATAGGCACTGCTTAAACCACCCATAGGGCAGGCATACATTATAGGCACTGCTTAAACCACCCATAGGGCAGGCATACATTATAGGCACTGCTTAAACCACCCATAGGGCAGGCATACATTATAGGCACTGCTTAAACCACCCATAGGGCAGGCATACATTATAGGCTCTGAGCCACAACAGCTCCAAAAGTCCATTTAGTCTCCATCTCTGCTAACCTGTTGCACCACTAGGGGATTTAGGATTTATATATTGATGAGGACCGCAAATGACTTGCCAAAACTTGCACCGAAAGTCATATATTTATCCTACTGTAACAGTAACAGAACAGTGAACAGCTCATGTAACTCATAGGGTCATTGGAGCACCCCGGGAGGGTGAGCAAGCACTAACAGGGTTTAGGGTTTTGGGTGGATGGTGTGCCTTGGTTGGTGATGTGACGTGTCAGGGGAGCTGGTACAAAGAATGATGGGTCTGAGTCCTTCATCCTTCTATAACATCCTCTACAGTACAGGGATCCCTGAGTCCTTCATCCTTCTATAACATCCTCTACAGTACAGGGATCCCTGAGTCCTTCATCCTTCTATAACATCCTCTACGGTACAGGGATCCCTGAGTCCTTCATCCTTCTATAACATCCTCTACAGTACAGGGATCCCTGAGTCCTTCATCCTTCTATAACATCCTCTACGGTACAGGGATCCCTGAGTCCTTCATCCTTCTATAACATCCTCTACAGTACAGGGATCCCTGAGTCCTTCAGCCTTCTATAACATCCTCTACAGTACAGGGATCCCTGAGTCCTTCATCCTTCTATAACATCCTCTACAGTACAGGGATCCCTGAGTCCTTCATCCTTCTATAACATCCTCTACAGTACAGGGATCCCTGAGTCCTTCATCCTTCTATAACATCCTCTACAGTACAGGGATCCCTGAGTCCTTCAGCCTTCTATAACATCCTCTACAGTACAGGGATCCCTGAGTCCTTCATCCTTCTATAACATCCTCTACAGTACAGGGATCCCTGAGTCCTTCATCCTTCTATAACATCCTCTATGTTTTATTGAGTGGATGGTCAGGTGGCCGGAACATAATTACAAAGAATTAATATATTTTCCATAATCAAAAATATTGTATTTTCAGTTGTTTGAAGCTTGTGTACAAAACCGAAAGTAAAAGACGCAAAAAACTAAAGTTAAGAACAGGAAGCAAAGAAATACAGCACATAGAACAGATCTACCGCTTCTTAGACTGGCTTTCAATGAGAATGACAGATCTATAACTCACATTTCTATGTGCATTTGGTGGGGTCGCCCAAAAAGTTACATATTGCAGCTTTAAGAATTAAAAAGTATAGCGCTGTTATCATCATGTTACATATTACTGTTACCATGTGACATTGTTTTTGATACGTGAGATAAGTTGACATGTGAGACAAACAGGGTTTAGTGGAGCAGAACACATTAGAGGCACTTCTGAGGCCTACTGTGTAAAATGTCTCTCTCTCTCTCTCTCTCTCTCTCTCTCTCTCTCTCTCTCTCTCTCTCTCTCTCTCTCTCTCTCTGTCTCTGTCTCTGTCTCTCTGTCTCTCTCTCTCTCTCTCCAATGGAAATTCTGAGATCTGAGGGAGTGTGCAGCTGAAAAGCTCACTGGAGGAGAAAATAATGGTGGTTTCAGTTGGAGCTGCCCTTCTGAAGAAAGAATGGTGGTTTCAGTTGGAGCTGCTATTCTGAAGAGAAAAGCCACCTCACAATCCTCACAAGAAACGCATGCGTCCCAAACGGTACCCCGTTTCCTATGTAGTGCACTGATTTGACCAGAGTCGCTCTACATAGGAAACAGAGTGCCGTTTGGGACTCGTTCATTATGAATATAATGAAGAATTTATTATGAATATTAATGCAGTTAATTGACAGCTGTAGTAAACAAATACTACAAAAGATAAGAAAGACTGAATGACAACCATCTGAATCAACGAGAGAGAGGCTGTGTGGCAGGGCAGCTAATATAAAGGAAGCAGCACCAACTAATTGGAAACAGTACATTCATTTGGGTAGTACAGGTTGAATGGATTTAGTGAGGTAGAAAGAAAATAATTGTTGCTAATGTGATTTTTCACTTTCCTTGTTTTAAAATGTTCTGTACTTTAGGTAAGTAAAACAAAATGTTAACTATTCAATTATAAACAATTGGCCGACTATGTAAAATAGAAACAGATTTCTTATTCTACATGTGTAATAACACATTAAAAAATATATATATATTATTATGAAAGATATCCATTTACCTGTATTGGCCAGCGTGGGAGCGGCTGGAGGAAATTAGCTTCGTAGGGATAGTCAACCATGGCCAGATTCACCCAGGTCTCTTGGAGCCAGGCCTTGAAACCATCCAAGTCCGTCTTCTTGAGAGGGGAGCACAAGCTAAACTCACCGGACAGCCATTGAAGACCATCATCTGTCCAGAGATGAAGAGGGAATGTAGTCCTCATGAGTTAACCACGCTTTAAACTAGTTTCTATGATGCTGTCATTCAGACAGGCTAATTCATCCTACCAGTTGCTATGATGTTGTCATTCAGACAGGCTAATTCATCCTACCACTTGCTATGATGTTGTCATTCAGACAGGCTAATTCATCCAACCAGTTGCTATGATGTTGTCATTCAGACAGGCTAATTCATCCTATCAGTTGTTATGATGTTGTCATTCAAAGACAGGCTAATTCATCCTACCAGTTGCTATGATGTTGTCATTCAGACAGGCTAATTCATCCTACCAGTTGCTGTGATGTTGTCATTCAGACAGGCTAATTCATCCTACCACTTGCTATGAAGTTGTCATTCAGACAGGCTAATTCATCCTACCACTTGCTATGATGTTGTCATTCAGACAGGCTAATTCATCCTACCACTTGCTATGATGTTGTCATTCAGACAGGCTAATTCATCCAACCACTTGCTATGATGTTGGCATTCAGACAGGCAAATTCATCCTACAAGTTGTTATTATGTTGTCATTGAGAAAGGCTAATTCATCCAACCAATTGCTATGATGTTGACATTCAGACAGGCTATTTCATCCTACCACTTGCTATGATGTTGTCATTCAATAACAGGCTAATTCATCCTAACACTTGCTATGAACAGGCTAATTCATCCTACCAGTTGCTATGATGTAACTCAGACAGGCTAATTCATCCTACCAGTTGCTATGTGGTTGTCATTCAGACAGGCTAATTTATCTTATCAGTTGTTGTGATGTTGTCATTCAGACAGGCTAATTCATCCTACCACTTGCTATGAACAGAAAATCTCCTACCATTGCTATAAAGTTGTCATTAAAA